TCCTGCGGCGCGCCGGCCAGAAGCGCCATTGGCCCCTTGGGATGCACACGTCCTCCCAGGCGCTTGGGGGGGCGGGGCAGGGCAGGGAGAGGAGATCACCAGCCGGCCACCATGGGCGAATTGAGACAACGGTGTGGTTGTCCTTCGGGGGCCCCCCCGTCGCTACGGCTGGGCGCGGCTCGGAAACATCGTGGTGCGCTTGGACCCAGGGGGGGGGGGCCCGGGGACCGACCTGGAGCTGCCGTTGTCTCATCTCGCCCTGCTTCGACCCTCCCTCTCTCCCCCCTTGCCCTCAGTGTCCCCCTCCCCCATCCTGCTTCCTCCCTCTGCTGACGGGGCACACGCGGGGGGTGGCGCGAGGGGGGCGGCCTTGTAAGACAGCGGGGGCCTCCTGAGAAGGGCCCGTCGGTTGCCCAGAAGTCTTCTCAGGAGCCAGGAGGGCTTCTGAGAAGGCAAGGCTTCCCGTTACAGGGGCCTCCAGGCTTTGAGAAGGCTCCCCCTCCTCGCCGCTAAGTTTCTCCTTCCTACCTGTCTATTCCTCGCGAGTCAGGGGCACTGGTGTCGGGGTTGTCCAAGGCCGGGGTGATGCCCAAAGGGGGGTGCATATCATTACCAGGGCCATGCTTTCTCTCTGAATTTCATGCCGCCCCTTCTCGTACCGACACGACCCCCAGCCCTTCCCCCCTCGTCCGCGCACATGCCTCTGGCCATGGTTAGCGATCCCTCTTCCTGGACGCCCCCCTCCCAGACGCCCCTGACGGTGGCTGAGCCCCCAGGCTCCTCCTGGCGGGCGCGCGCGCGCGAAGTTGGCCGCCGCTTCGCGCTTCCCGGGGGGCCAGGCGCGGGAGCGCGGCAGGGGCACGGCAGGTCCGCAACGCCCCGGCTCGGCGGCGACGCGCTCGAGGCAGAGCGGCCACCCGCGGCCCGAGCTCGGCCGATCTCGGACGATCGGCGCCATCGGACGTCCGCGGCCGCTCAAGGTGGATCGACCCGCGCGGTGTCAGAAACCAGCGCCGATGTGGTCATGACAGCCGCCGCACAACACGATAGGGATAGCCCGCTCTTCCAGGCGCTCTGACCGAGCCTTCGTCGGGAGCCTCGAGACGGGGGTCGATGCAAACGGGGGTCAACCAGAGCGCCGGATCTTGCAGGTCTTACAGAAGCCAGGGGTGCACTGACTCGGGCTTGCCCGCGCAGGGTTCTGCAGGATCCTGTCGGACTTTTTGTACGATCCTGAAAAAAGCCCGACTGACCCGGCTTTGGATTGACCCGTGTCAGTGCGCCCCCGAAAAACGCCCTGAGGGGCATCTCAGGCGAGGGGTGGTCAGGAGGGGAAAAGCACCGACACAAGTAATCGTCGACCCCCAGGAGAATATGGGAAAATATGGGAAGTGGGAAGACGAACATCCAGAGAATATGAGATCATATGGGGAATCGTTGTATTTGTCTGTATTCATCTGTGTGTCCCTGGGCCCCTTCAGGTGGGTTGGCCCGAACTCCTGGCGTGGGGCGATCAAGAGGGGGCGCAGCGAGGGCTGCCGAAGAGAGGGGCCCTGGAGGGACCCTAGAGGGCCCCTGTCGTGCCCAGAAGGGGGCCTTGAGGGTCCAGAGAGGGCACCTCTCTTCCTCCCCCCCCTTCTCTATCGCCCCCCATTTATTCCTGCCCAACCTGGAGGGTTTCTCCGAAGGGCTTAGGCGACTCGTCCCTCTCCTCCTCCTCCTACTCCTCCTCCTCCTCTTCCTCCTCCCTCCTCCTCCTCCTCCTCCTCCTCCTCCTCCTCCTCCTCCTCCTCCTCCTCCTCCTCCTCCTCCTCCTCCTCGGGTCGCCTACGGCTCCAGGGGAAACCGTGCAGCCCAATCCCCTTGTGTGGCCGCGATGGCGCTGACCCATAGGAACTTCCCAGCGTGCGGTGGTGGAATGGCGGGGCGATGACTGGAGCTGTGGAGAAGCTGGGGGCTGGACGGGATCTGAATTTTCAGTCGGCAGTCGTACCATGTCAGTCAAAGGACACAGAGATGTAGACATGGTCGAAGATCTAGCAATAGATGCCCGGCCGGGCCTGAGGGCGGCAAGAACCCGCCGTCCACCAACGTGGAAAAGACTTTCGAGGAGCCGCGGTCCTTTCTTGCCGAGCGCCGCGGACTTCGAGTGCTCCCTCGAGCCCTCCTCTGCTCCCACCTCTCCACAGAGGATCATGATCACGAAGAGGAGGAGGAGGAGGAGGAGGATGAGGATGAGGATGAGGATGAGGATGAGGATGATGATGATGATGATGATGATGATGATGATGATGATGATGATGATGATGATGATGATGATGATGATGGGGAGGAGTGGACGCAGAAGGTGGAGGGGCTCCCCTCTCCTCGGGCCAAGTAGGTATCCATCCAACTTCCCTCGCGCGATGCTGCGCTGCGGCGTGACAGTGCCGACGAGCCAGGGTGGCCCACCCACCCCTTCCCCTCCCTTCTTGGACGTGTCGAAGATGGTGGTGATGACAAGCGATGTGTGGATCAAACGGCCAGGGCCATGAGATCTTTCAGATGTCATGCCCCCCTCTCTTCTTCTTCTTCTTCTTCTTCTCCTTATATGTCTTATTCTTGTTGTTATTAGTCTGACTCTTCTTCTTCTTCTTCTTCTTCTTTCAATGCGCACCCTGGACCCTCCTCGATCGCTCACATGCCTCCGACCATGATGCGTTGTCCCCCCTCTTCATGGCCTTCTCTCTCTTTGGCGCGCCCGGCTTTCTTCTCTCGTTCCTGTCTCTCTATCTCTTTTGTCCGCCCTCTCCCCCCTGTCCGCTGTTGCGCCTCTCGAGTGTAGACTCGGCGCGGAATACAGCGAGGGCGTTACATGCTGAAAAGCCCCGAGCGCGTTAGAGGGTATTTTCTTGGTCTGCGGATCGGGAGCGGGCCCCTTCCGGTCAAGTGCTAAACGGGACGCGGGTAGCCCTAATCAGGGAGACAGGGCGCGGGCGGGCGGGGCCTCAGGCGGCCAGAGGGCTCAGAAAACAGGCGGTGCCGAGGAACTTGCACAAGAAAAGGGGCGCCATGGACTGGATCAGGGGGCGCGGTCCCACAGGGAAAGTGGTGTGGTGTTGCCGTCATCGGCGCGCCAAGAACACCATCCTCGAGCGCTGCGTGAGGAGGGCCGTGAGCAAGTCAACGTCCGCAAAGTAGAGGAAGACCAGGAAGGCGAAATGCACCAGGTGCCACCGATTGGTAAGGAGGGCCCAGGAGATGCGGACGACCACGAAGTCGATGTGCAGCGTTGTGCCACCGGGTGGTCAATAGCGGCCTGGGGTGGTAGTCCAGTCCACGTCCAGGTAGCAGCCCCGAGGTTCGGCGTGAGGGCTGACTGTGTCCGCCTGCCGTGGGACGGGCCGGAGCCGCGCTGCCCAGGGAGAGCGGGGCCGCCGAGGCGGCAAGGTGCAGAGCCAGCACCGGGCCAGAGCCGCGCTGTGCCGGGCGCTGCCGCCATGGGAGGGGGGGGAGAGCGAACGGGGAGGAAAAAGCGGGCAGGGAGGAGAGAGGCCAGCGTCCCGCGCCGGCCTGAGTCCCGCCACCGCGCACAAGGGTGCACGTATGGGGACACGTCTCAGTACGCACTGGTAAGGCCCGCGGCCACAGCGCGGGCGTGCCACGCACGTCACCGTCGTGCAGACGCCTCTCAGGTAAGAACAGGGGGGACACAGAGTCCCAGATCCTTGAGTCCAGTCCAGCCGATGGGTACAGGTGGGGCACAGAGTCCCAATTTCTTGGATAAAAGAGAGGAGGAGAAGAGAAGGAGGAGAGGGCAGGCCCAGGTGAACAGGCCAATGCCAACGCAGGGCATGGGGGGAACACAGAGTCCAAGGCCATGGAGATTCAACCAGCCGATGCATACAGGTGGGACACTGAGTCCCAATTTCATGGAAACAAGAGAGGAGGAGAGGAGGATGAGGAGAGGGCAGGCCCAGGTGAACAGGTGATAGCCAACACTTGGCCAGCAGACGCCCCACGGGCGAGGGGTATCAGGGGACGGGGGGGCGTCAGAGGGTACGCATAGATAAATACATACATATACACATCGGTGGTATATGTCAATCCAGTCGCGACTGATAAGTGGATCGATCGAGCATGCTAAGCGAAAGGGCGCCCTTCTGTCCTGTCAACTCTGGCTTTCTGTGCCATGTGTCTTTAGGCTTGCTTGTTACATACATGTTGCCCTCGACAGGATCTCCCGAGCTATGTGGCTATGCGGATGAAAGGGCCTCCCCTCGCAAACTCATTGCGTTTTGCAGCGTCATGCGGTCAAACCCTCGCCCGCTCGCGAGTTTCATGATCGATTTGGCTCTCCCCGTGTAGAGGCCCGCAGTCGTTTCACCTGTTTGCCGGGCGTGCGCAGTTGTGACACTTCTTCCCCCCGCTCCTTTCCCTGCGCCCCCTGCAGCATACAGCCAACCCGCATACAAAGGATGGGCAAACTTCCCAATGGTACCCTTGTATCCTTGCCTCCACGGCCCATCCTTGGCCACTTGCGTTGGCCGCACCCTGCTCGAAAAGCTTCGAACCGGCCTACCAAGGCCCTTGCATCCTTATCGTGCGTCCTTACTGCTTTTTGCTCGTCCGGATGAGAGGTACGAGGCACCGCGGACGGCGTGGTAGGCAGGGCCCCTCCCTTGGTCGGCCCGAGGCGTTGGTCTCGCGGCCACCTCTCTTGGACTGGACTGGACCCCATGTTCGGGCTTCCGTTCTGGCATGGGGCGCAGCGGTGCGGTGTTGCCGCCCCCCAAGTTCCGCCCCGTCTCCTCCTGCCTCCCCTCCGCTGTGACCCCCCCCCGTTCTCCTCCCTCCGTTCCTTCCGCGCGCCCTCTTGGTCCCCCTCTATCCTTTTCCGAACACCCTTCCCGCCTCCATGCGCCCGCACGTCACCTCTTCTCTTCCGCACTGTCCACCCCTTCCTTCCCGTTCCCGTTTGTCCCCCCTTTGTCTAAGCCCTTCGCCTCTTCCTGCCTATCTCCTCCCCCTTTTCTCCTCCCCCCTCCTCCTGTCCCTCCTCTCCCCCCCTTCCTCCTCCTCCTCCTCCTCCTCCTTTTTTGGGGCAGCGCGTGCGGGCAGCTGCGGCGGAAGACGGAGGCAAAGGAAAAACCCAACGTCATCAGCTACAGCGCTGGAACCCAATGGGAAGCGGAGGACATCCATGGAGAGTGGGGGCCCCTCCCAGAAGAGGACCAGCAGAAGATCGAGACCATATACCAGGAGCGCCTCATCACTCCCAGGAGGAAGTTCATCCCCTTCACCCTGCTGGGTTCGAGCGGAAGGCCCACGTGGCCACTGAGACCCGATTTCGCGAAGGGTAAGCGATGCGTCCAGCTAAGGCGCGCGCGAGAAGTGTGAGAAGTGCAGAAGCTGTGAAGTCGACCAGCGCTGCCTCGCGAGGTGGAACCAGGGAGGAAGCTGCAGCGCCCTGCGTGCGCGCCCAGCCGAGGGCCGCGGCGCCGACGCGGACAGGTCGGCAACGCCCCGCCCGCGCCGCCGCCTTCGGGGCGGCGAACATTTTTTTGTCCGCTCGCGACAACAGACGAGGAATCCCCGAGGAATTTCCTCTTTCTCCTCCATTTTCCAATTCGGCCCGTTTTCCCATCTCCCCAAACAAACTTCAGCGCCTTCCGCACCCCCCCCCGCTTCTTCCTCCTCGTCCTGTCCGTCTCCCCCTCCACTTCCTCTCCCGTTCTTCCCAGCGTCCTCTTCCGCTCTCGCTTCAGCGCCGCGCAGATTCGTTTGAGAGTCGCTTGCGTTTACGGTGATGAATGGCGGGTTGTTCTCGTAATCTGGTTCTCGTCCGTGCGCCGCACAATGATGGGGGACAGTTATTTTTTGTTAGAAGGGGCTCTCGTTTGGGGCGTCCCCGAAGTTGAGTATCACAAAGGGTATATTATTGCAGCGTTTTTACAAATGGACTCTCGCGTGGAACCTCTTCGGGAACTATGGTCAGTCGTGTTTTGTGGGGCGTCGTTGTTCCCAAACCATCATGTGGTGTTGCGTTTTCGTTTTGAATCAGCAGCGCCCCGCGTCCCTCCCTCCTCCTTCCTCCTCGCAATCCTTCCTTGGCTCCCTCCACCCATCCCTGCATTTGCCCTCCGCATGTTTTTGTGATAATACACCCCTCACTCGTTTCGTTTGGCCCCAGTGGCACCCCGTTACATGTGGGTTTCACGCCCGTTTCGGCGCACCCCTCACACGCGCTCTGGCCCCGTAGGAAACTCAGCCGACGTCGCCAGAGGTACCGTCCACATGTGGCGTCACGCTCGTTTCGGCACACCCATCACACGATCCGTGGCCCCGTGAGGAGTTTCGCCGTAACCCCCAGTGGCACCGTCCCTATGTGGGGGTCACGCCCGTTTCGGCAACACCCTTCGCATGTTTCGCGGCCCCGTAGGGGGTTCAACCGAACACCCCAGAGGCACCGCCCACGCGTGGACGGCGCGTCCGATTCGGCGCACCCTTCACACGTCGGGGGCGGACAGAACCCCCAACAGTGACACGTCGATTAGTGAATTGTCCGTTTTCGGTTCTCGAGAGGGCGCCGTGGCCGTTATTTTCCAGGCTTGCGCCCGCCAGGTTTGGGCCTCAGGTCGTTTTCACTAAACCACGTTTTACTAAAGGGGGGTCTGTCCATCCCCGAACACGTTTCGTGTCCCCGGTCTGCCGGAGTTCCGCCGAACGCCCCAGAGGCACCGTTCAGTTGTGGACGGCACGCCCGTTCCGGCGCACCTTCGCACGTTTCGGCCCCGTGCGGGCCACACAGAAATCTCGACTGCCACACGGGACTCGCTTCGATACCTCCGATTCGACTCGATTTGGTTTCGATGGCTTCCGATTCTGATTCCGATTCGATTCGTTTTCGGATTCCGATTCGGGCTCCGATTCCTTCTGACCCGTAGTGGCTTGCCGATTTCCGTCGATTCGACTTTTCCCGACTCGGCTGCCGATTCCCGCCGATCCGATTCACATGGGTCGCCGATCCGACTTATCGATTCGATTCTGTGCCTTCCTGCCCACATGGTGCCCCGCCAAATCTCATAACACCCCTCACGCGTACTGTGCCCCCACAGCGAACCCCACCTAAAACCCCGGTGGCAACGTCCGCATAGTGGCCTCGCCTGCTTTCGGTACGGCTTCTGCGCGTCGTGGCCCCACATGGAGATCCGTCGTGGCCCCATATGGAGATCCGTCGTGACCACAACGCTGGCACTCACAACTGAATCTGGTTGGGCCCTTCGCCAAGATATGGTTTCGCATTGGGTTTTCGTGTACACGCGTTCATGCTTCGCTTTCCTGACGACAAGAAGGACGCAGGGTAACTTCTTTCCAATAGGGGTCTCTCCTAAACGACAAGACGAATGGGCGGCCGTCTTTCCAGGGGACGCCTGCCTCAGTGAAAGGGGGCGCTGCCCAAAATGAAAAAGGACGCGCCCCATGTGATGAGGGGACGAGGGACTGGGCTGTGTGTTGCAGCAGTGCTCATGCATCCTGAGCTTACTCTGGTCCCTCGTCCTTCTCTTTCCCGCCCTTTTTACCCCTCCCTCTCTCTCTCCCCCGTCCGCCTCTCTCCTCCCCCTTTTTTTTGCGTTCTCTCTCTCTCGCTCTCTTTTCCTTCCCTCCCATCCTCTCCTCACTCTCCCCTCCTGGCTGTCCTCCTCCCCCGCCCCCTCCCCCTGCTCCTCCGCGTGATCTCCCCTTTCCCTTCCCTTCTTCACTTTCTTATCTTGCTCTGCCTGCGCCATGTCCTCCTGTCCGTCGTCGTCCGTCCCCCCAGGAGGATTTTTCTAACCACCTGAAGGTGAGGAACCAGCAGAAGAGGAGGGACGCCAGCCGCGCAGCCGAACCGCGCTCCGTTCCGATGGATGGGGAGGAGGAGGAAAAATATGAGGAGGGGTGGAAACGACGTGGGGGGAAGAGGGAGGGGGGAGGGGGGAGGGGGGATGGGAAGAAGGAACATGAAAGGGAAAACGAACATGGGGGAGGACGAGGCGGGGTTGGGGGAAGCAAGGGGGGGCGGGGAATGAGGGAGTGGACTCGTGCCTCGCCTCCTGCTTGGCCGCCGCTGCCGCTGCTGCCGCTCCGCCCGCCTCCGGCAGGGTCGGCCTCCGCTCGGCGCGCAAGTTCCAGGCAGGGTTGGCACCATTTCAAGCAGCGGGCCGGCGCAGCGTCTTGATTCCGCGACTGGGGAAAAAACAGGGGGCAAAACTCATCCCAGTCCTTGAAGCGGGAAGCGGTTTCGCAGAATCCGTTGTTTTGGTTGTAGCAGCGTCCAGCAATGCCCAAGCGGGCCCCAAGATCGCGCCAAGAGGCCCCCCGAGAGGGCCCCGCGGCGGCCCAAGGGGCGCGCCCAAAACAGCCGAAGCGCGCCCCAACAGGGCCCCAAGAGGGGCCCAACAGGGGCACCCTGAATTGACAGTTCGAGACCTCCGCCCCGAGAGGACCCCCGAGACGCCCCCAAAACGGCCCCCACGAGGGTTTAAAAATGCCTCCGAGAGGCTCCGTAGAGGCTTCCCAATAGGCCCAACAGGCATCCCACAAGCGTCTGACCCATAAATACAGTGGCAGAATTTTGACGCGATCGCGTGTTCGAGCCTCAAGACGCCCTGGACGACCCGGGCGGCCCAAACATTTCGCCAAAACGGGTCGAGAGCGGAGTATCGAAGGTGCTTCCAAGGGCCCCCCACAGAACGCTCATATGCTGCCAACACGGCGCCAAGGTGGCCTACGTTGATTGCCGGGCTGCCCAAGACGCCCTCAAGACGGCTGAAGACAGCGAGACGATGGCCCCAGAGGCCCCCGAGGAAGCTTCCGAAAGGCCGAAATTATCAAACACGTACGGCTTTCTCCACAATTTTATCATTCATATGTTTTGCTTTTGCAGCAGCCAAGACCGCCACAGTGACCCCCAAGCTTGCCTGGAAACGGCCCAGGAGGCCCCCAAGAGGGCATCAAAACATCCCAAGGCGGCGCCAAGATGGCCTACGAGGCCCTCAAGACGAACCCAGGAGGCCCGCGAGACGGCCCAAAGACGCCCAAGGAACGCCTTAAGACTTTCGACAGAGTGCTCCAAGAGGGCCTCCGAAGGCGTCTGTCGGACCGCGAGCGCTCTAAGAAAACCCAAGGACCCACCCAGAGACCCCAAAAGGTCTTCAAGATGCTCCAGGAACCCCCCAAGGGGCTACCAAGAGTCCTTGAAAAGCTTCCCCAGAGGGTCCAAATAGGTCCCAAAGAGGCCGGCCCCCAAACCTTTCCAATTGGGCGAGATGAGAGCCTGAAGACGGCCCGAGAGAGCCACAATATTGCTTGAGTGCTTGAGAAACCGTTTGGATCGTTCAGGAGGCCCTCATGACGCCCCCAAGAGGTCGCTCCAAAGGATCCATTTCGTTGCATTGTTTCGTGTATCCTTTAAGAAGTTGTGCCTGTTGGGTCCGCAGTCTTGCGACTGCTTCAATACATCTTCAAGGCAACAGTGGGGACCCACTTGAGTGCAGTTGTGGCTTGCCACATACTGGGCCTTGGTAGACCCAAAGCGCGCCGCGCGCGAAGCGCGCGCGTAGTTCTGTATACATACATATATATATATATATACACATGCCCTTGCAATCCATACGTTGCACATTGAGTACAATAACCAATTGTTCGGGGTCCACGCTGGTAAGCATGCTTTCGGGATGAGAAGATAGTATGAGGAGCATCGCCTGAGGTGCACTTTGCCGGGCCAGTTGAGCTGCCCCGCCCTGAGGAATACGCTGACTGTCCTTGGCGCTGGTATTGGCAGTGCTATTGCGGTGGGTGGGCGCGCGCAAGGAGCGGTGATGCACGGGAGTACTTAGGAGCTGCTGCTTCTCTGGTTGCATTCGGGTGAGCTCTGCCTCGTCCCAGAGCCTCGTCGGCATGTTGGCTCCTCACTCGGGATCCACGCGCTTTCCCCTCCCAGTGCCGTCCGCTTTTGTACCCGAGCCCCGTTTTTTTTCTCGGGTCTGCCTCTCTGTCCCTCCTGGCAGGTCCGCATCAGTTCTACGACACATGTCCAACCAAGAGTTGATTCGGGGAACCTCAAGCCAACACAACCGCAGGAGCTACCCGACATCGCCTCCACACCATAATCATCAGCGTGCCAGTTATTTTCTATGCTACGCTGCTGCTTGTGCTGCATGTTGTCGGTTGCTACGCTCCCTACACCAGCTTTGCAGTCCGCAGTGTTCTGAGAGCTACAACCGATTCGGGTTGACCCAAATGGGGGTCCAGCGACAAGGGGGTGGTGCAACAGATTTGGTGCAATAGATTTGTGGGGTTGCAATACATTTGGAACGTGCAATACATTCCGGGGCGCAAATGTATTCATGGGTTTTCGCGTGCAAAACATTTGTTGCAATACACTGCAGTACAATTTTCCGGCACAATGCATTTGCAAGACAATTGCCCCAAATCTATTGCACCACCCTCTTGCAGCTGGACCCCCTTTTGGGTCACCCGAACTGGTCAGGGTTTCTTCGTGGATTTCCGCCATGGTGTGCTGTCATGCTGTGCCACGCTAGTGCTGCGCAGAAGTTGCAGGACGCTTAAGATTGAAGTGGTTGGTAAGGAATGAGGATGCGGACCTCGCGACCAAATTGATACGTTCGGTGGTGAGTCGAAGGCAAAATCGTTTGACCGAGCGCCCATGCCGATTCGCATTTATGTTTATTGATCATGGTAGCCAATTGGCACCCCTTGGAATTCTATGGACATGTTCAACTTCGTAGTGGCACACCTTCTCCAGAATAGTCGTTCCGATATGGTCGTTCCTCTTCTCAGGCCTTTTCAAGTCATGTGGCAGGCGTGAGTAGCATACGCGTCTGATGGTAGGGACTTCGCTGATGCTATTCGAACATATGTTTGTGCTTCGACGGTGACGGCACGACACTGTGCCCCCTGGTTCCTGGTTTTGCGTTTGTTCTCTGGACATGTATGGAAGCATCGGTGCGGTTCTGATTTGGATACCTGTTGCTTGCCTAGGGAGGCTGTGATACCATAATCAAGATCAGTAGGTCAGTGCTTGGACGGATCCACATTGTTTTGAGAAACGAAGGGCCTGATCGGGACCCATGTATTAGCATGCCTTCGGACAGTCGAGCCATACCCAGCCACTCTCCCCTTCTTCTCCCCTCACTCTTTTATTCATGTCGCCGCATTTCCCCTGCACCTCCTTTTTGCTTGGTCACCACTCCTTTCCATCCAATTTCATTGTTTTGTGATTCGTTTTTTTTTTTTTTTTTTTTTTTTTGTTGTAAAAAACGCCTTTTGAGTATTTCGGCTCACGGTATTCAAGGCGACAGTTGCGCAGTTGACAGCCCTTCCAAGAGGGCGAAGTCTAGTGTGGATTTGCGTAGGGCTGCGCTCCAGTGGGCTTCCCAGGAGCACGCGAGAGTGTCGACAGCTGCGCAGTGGGCGGCCCCGGGGGAGGGCACCGTCTGGCCACATCTGGAGAGGAATCGCCCTCCATCCGTGGAACCCTTGCAGGCCTTTAGAACGAAGGTGCGCGGCGCTAAGGCGAGAGCCACCTGTTGAAAGCGGACGGGCCCAAACCCACGAATCCCTCGGCAATCCTCAGGACGGATGTGCGCGGCGCCGAGGCGAGAGCCACCTTTCGGAAGGCGGACCGCTCTCCACCCGTGCAGCTCCTGCAGACCTCAATCTCGTTTGGGAGGAGGAGGAGGAGGAGGAGGAGGAGGAGGAGGAGGAGGAGGAGGAGGAGGAGGAGGAGGAGGAGGAATGAGAGGAGGAGGAGATGAGGAGGAGGAGGAGGAGGAGGAGGAGGAGGGAGAGGAGGGAGGAGGAGGAGGAGGAGGAGGAGGAGGAGGAGGAGGAGGAGGAGGAGGAGGAGGAGGAGGAGGAGGAGGAGGAGGAGGAGGAGGAGGAGGAGGAGGAGGAGGAGGAGGAGGAGGAGGAGGAGGAGGAGGAGGAGGAGGAGGAGGAGGAGGAGGAGGAGGAGGAGGAGGAGGAGGAGGAGGAGGAGGAGGAGGAGGAGAGGAGGAGGAGGAGGAGGAGGAGGAGGAGGAGGAGGAGGAGGGAGGAGGAGGAGGAGGAGGAGGAGGAGAGGAGGAGCCCCACCTCTTTTGCTTCCGTGCCCGCCGCTCCTCCTCCCCCGGCCCGCCGCACGCCTCCTCGCGCTCTTCCTCCCCCCTCTCCCCCCCCTCCACCGCTCGAGGCCTCCACCAGGGCCCTCGGGGAGCAGAGGCACCTCCGCGGCACCGTGACGGGTGCTCACCGACGGGTACTTTGAGACTTTGCCGAGGTTTGTCATTTTTGGGCCTCTTTCTGGCATTGCGGCGTTGCCCCCACCAGGGAGGGTTGGGTTCGCTGGGCCACCGGCCGAAGTACCCGTTGGTGGAGTCCCCGTCAGAGGGGTGCTGAGACACGATATGGAAAGCCATCGAGGAACGAAAAGCAGCATAAACGCGAACTTCCGACGGTCCGCGCGGATTTCTTGGATCGGCGCTGGGGGCCCCCTGGCGGCGCCTCCGGCGCCGCTCCTGGCGCGCTCCGCGTGCCAGCCCTCTCAGAGGGCGGCGGCACTTCTCAGAGGCCCTTCGGCTTTGTGAGAAGTGGTCGGTGCTTTCGGGGAAGGCTCCGAAGGGGGACTTCCGAGCCTCCCTGCGAGGGCCTGCCCCTCCTCTCGCTTCCCCCCCCTCTCGCTCGCCGCCAGCGGTGGTGGGCAGGGCGACCCTGCTTGGCTAGACCGTGCTGCCTCCTTCAGGAGGGACAAAAACGCAGACACAATTCATCGTCGATTCCCCCGAAGATGCGGGAAGGCATGTGGGAAGTGGGGGGGGAAGGCGAAAACCCAGAGCATCTGGGAAGAGATGGGGAATCCTGCCAGTTGTGTGTCTTCCTCTGTGTGTCCCAGGGCCCCTTCGTCCTTGCGCGTGGCCTGCCGTCCTGCCTCGTCTCGGGCCCGTCCCCTGCCGACGCGGGGGGCCGCGGGAGGTGGCGGCGTCGCCCGTCCTGCTCCCGGGCCTCGCGGTGGCCTCCGTCGTGGGTGCCCCCCGCTCCGCCGGGCTCGCCGCGGGCCTCGGGAAAAGGGTAGCTCACCACCCACCAAACCACCCCAACCCAACCCGAAGGCTCAGATTTACCCTCGATTTCTAGTGGGGGGGGGTCCGGGAACATCGAAAAAACACATATGGAGCCCATACCCCCCCCAACCCGAAATTCGGGTCTTCGGGTTGGGTTGGGGTGGTTTGGTAGGTAGTCAGTAGCGAGCACTCGTGCCGCATCGTCGTTCTCTTGCTCATCGTGCCGATCGGCGCGGGCCCTCGCACCCCCACTCCCCCGCCGTCATGGAGTAGAGCTTGGCCGATTTGGGCGCCTGTTTCAAGCAGGTGGAGTCTCCCCCCAGAGGACGCACGTCGCGCTAAGCAGAGGTTCGGAACTAGACCCCCCCTCCCTCTTCCGCCCAATGTCGAAACGCCGAGTAAGAAAACGTTCACATTCATCTGTCAACGCCTCCCCCTCTCCCCAATGTTCAAAATTGGCGGTGGGTCTGATGAGTTGGACTTCGACCGCAGTCTCTTCCGCGAGTGCCAACTTTGAGTTTTGGGGGGAGGGGAAGTATTCGCTAATGGTTTCCCTCTTCCGCAGTCTTGAGAGATGGAGGGTCTAGGGCAACCATCGGAGGGGACAGGCATAGGAGGGGATGCATCGACCCCCATTCGCCCACTGATCGCCGATAGGGGCCCGATAGCCCCAACCTGCCCAGGAACGTGCGGATTCACGATCGGGGGCCTAGCGCCGATCTATCGGCGATGTATTGCCGATTCCAGGCCGATGTGTCCCTCCCTATGCCAGTCCCCCCTATCGTTGCGCCTTACAGGGGCGTGTCGTTGGATTGTCTTGGTGCTGCCTGCAACCGATCTTCCGACTAGATCCGATGATTCCCCAATCAGAGCTTGCCTCTGTAGGGGTCCTAGTGGATTCATATGGTGAGGTTAGGTTTGCCGCCGATTTTCGCCGCACGCCTGGGTGCCCGGGTGCCCCAGGGTGCCAGGTTGCCCGGGTGCCCAGGGGTGCCCCCAGGTGCCTGGGTGCCCGGGGGTGCCCGGAGGTGCCCAGGGGTGCCCGGAGGTGCCCCGGGGTGCCCGGGTGCCCCGGGGTGCCCGGGTGCTCTATCGCCCTATAGCCCTATAGCTCTATAGCCCTACAGCCCTATACCTCATAGCCCTATAGTCCTATAGCCCTAATAGCCCTGTAGCCCTATAGCCCTATAGCCCTATAGTCCTTCTGCCCTATAGCCCAATCGCCCTATAGCCCTATAACCCTATAGCCCTTATAGGCCTATAGCCCTATAGCCTTATTGCCTTCTAGCCCTATAGCCCTATGTTCCTATAGCCCTATAACCCTATAGTCCTATAGCCCTAGCCCTATGGTCCTATAACCGTATAGCCCCATAACCCTACAGCCCTAAACATATGATGTTTTTTTCTCTGGCATCATATTCCTATTTCCTTATCTCATATCTTCCGATGCGGTCCGATGTTCGCATAGCGTCATCGTGCATCTTGGCGCGGCCGATCCGATTCCGTGCCGGTGCAGCCCGACCCGACGCACTTTCCGATTGGATCGGATTTCCCAGCTCCAGACCTCCTGATCCTGCACGTGAGGGTGGACATTTGGGAGGGCGAGTCGCTAGTCTTCAATTGTTTGCCTGGCGACGGCAGCACTCGTAGGATCAGAGCCAACTCCCGTTGCGAGGCATGCTCGTTTTGGGGAGTTCTGTTTGAACGCTGCTTTCTAGATGTTGATGGTAGTGTTCGGGGGTGGGCCAGTTGCAAGCGCTGTTCTAGCTTGCTCAGCGGCCTCACCGCTTGCTCCAGGAGACCACCGCAGCTCCGCCATCACACTGGCTGTTTCTGGCGCCGCGCGGCGCCGGAAGAAAGGCAGCGACCGCACGGACATTCGCGCGTAAGCTGCCCGCATAATGTCGCGCGTAAGCGCCCTCGTCTCCGATGCAGCGTGCCGCGCTGGCGGCCCGCGTGAGCCACCGCGTAAGGTCGCTGCGTCTTCTCGCGTAAGGCGCGCCTCTTTCCGCCGCTCCGCTGGGGAACCTCCAGACCTAGCATGGGCGGCGATCGGGGGATCCCCCGACGCCCCACGCCACAAGGCTGAAGTCAGGCACGTCCCTCCACAGGAGGAATATTCAAGAATAGTAAATAGTCTGGTTGTGTTTGTTTTGGAGCTCTTTTGATTATTTTTCATATTTGTTTGTCGGGTGATGTTTTGAATCAGTTTCTTCCAACCTCCGCCTGGAGGAGGACGTGGCCGACCTAGTGCAAGGCCACGACGCCGCCAGCAAGAGCACGACGGGAGGCCCTGTAGACGCTGTGCCACCTCGCGCGCGCGACCCGTCCTTCTCTCCGCCGCTCCCGCGACGGGCATGGGCGGCCCTGCCACACCCGCGGGGGCTCCCGGGGTATGCGCGGGCGGAGCGGGGGCGGACCGGAGAGCGCGTCGCCTCCCGCCAGGGGCGCCCCCTCGCACCGCCTCGCGGAGGGAGGCGGAGCGCCCCTCGTCGAGAGCCCGCTCGAGCTCGTGCCGGGGGGCCCTCCGCCCTATCAGGGCGGCGAGATCTGTACAGTCGGGGCGCCGACGAAGCAGCCCTTGTCGTTTGGGAGGGGCTCGGTGTTCCCTAGTTGGTCTGCAGTTTGCCTTGGGTTATCCTCAGGTTTTCGATGGGAAGTCGAAGTTTCACCCATGGAAAACGAGGACCTCGTTCCTTGTTGAGGGTTCCTTAGGTCGAAGCCCCGACTGTACATATCCACTGCTTCTGGCCACGACCCTCCTGGGCCCAGGAGCAGTGCTCGAAGAAAAAACACGTAAACATAAACTGTCGTCGCTCCGCGCGGATTTCTCGGATCCGCGCTGGGGCCCTCTGGCGGCGCCTTTGGCGCCGCCCCTGGCGCGCTCCGCGCGCCAGGGAGGCGGTCCCAGCGCAAATGCAAGGAATCCGCGCGGGCCCGTCGAAAGTTTCTGTGTATGTATTTTTTTCTTTCTCTATCTGTGCATGCCTCCCTGCCTAAGCCAGAAAAGACCACCCCGACCCCGAGAATTGGCGTTTAGCTTACTGTGCGGCCCTGGGCGTTTACTAGACGGCCCTGCCCTGTCCGATTCCTTCTGCGGGTGTGCTGGCTCGTTGCTTCGCTTGTCGGGGCGCCTATTCCGGGGGTGGTTTGGCCAGGGGCACTGGATGTGCATAGATCCTGGCCGGTGCGACGAGCGCCTCCGGGCCCGTGCGCCCATGAGCCTCCCGAGATCGCCCGAGGCGGGCGGCGGCGCGGCGGCGCCGCCGTGCCCCAGCAGGTTTTGCTGCCCGCGCCGGCAGCTTCGCGGCCAGAGGGGGCCTTGGCCCGCAAGCGCCCAGGGAGGTCTGTCCCTGGCCCCGCCCGGCACCACGCTTGGCCCCCCCGTCTGAGAAGGCCAACTCCAGACGGAGCAAGTCCATGCGGAGTGCTCGGTCTCCGTATGGACGGATTCCTTCCGGGCTTGGCCTCTCCTGCTCGGAGTCCAGGTCCGTGCGGAGCGAGTCCAGGCGGAGTGCTCGGTCTCCGTATGAGCCCCTTCCGCCTGCACTTGGCCTCTCCCGACCCCACCACGCCCCCACCACGTCCTCGCCTGGGCCCGTCCCCGAGCGTCCTGGGGGAGCTCTGCTCGTAGGGGCCCGCGCCCCCCCAGGCCGCGGCTCTAGCGCTCCTCGGGACGGGTTCTTGATTCGGAGGCGACGATGGGGGCGAAGAGCCAAGGGGCGGGCATTACACTTAAGCCAGGAATGTCCCTCTACAGGAGGAATAGTTAAGAAATATAATCAATTAGGCGTTTTTTTCGCTCGCCCGGGAACCTCCTCGAAGGCCTGGACCATCGGCGCCCCTGGATACATGTATTCGTTTCCCGTGGGCTATTCGCCCCTATCGTCGCCTCCGATTCCTCCCGAGTCGTTCTGTTGACGGTCGTGGGGGCCGTGGAGGAGGGCCCCCAAGTCGACCAGACGTGAGGATGCCCTTTCGCCGGAGTGAGCTTTGGCGCGGGCCCCATGGGGGGCCCGCACCGATTGCTGAGCGCGAAGCGGCAGGCAGCAGCGACTCGCGCGCCCCGGCTTGGCCGCCCCGCGCCTCCCGTGAAGCCGCGCACCACCAGAGGTCACTCTTGCCTAGGGCCTAGAGCCACTCTTAGGGGAACAAAAAGTGACATGAACATACAAACTCGGAGGTCCGCGCGGATTTCTCGGATCGGCGCTGGGGCCCCCCGGCGGCGCCTCCGGCGCCGTCCCTGGCGCGCGGTGCGCGCCAGGGAGCCAGGGAGGGGGCTCCCTCGCCCGGCCGGGTCGGCTGCTCCGCGGTGGGGTGCGCGGACGGTGTGCCAACATGGGGCGCGGCGGGCGCCTGCGGGCGCAGCCCGTGGGGCCTCCGCGGCTCGGCCGGGGGCAGCTGCTTCGCAATCGGCGGCGTTGGGTCGGTGTGGTTCTTGTGTCACAGGCAAGTTTTCTCCCCTGATAGGGGGGCACATGCGGACCCTACCCCTACCCCCCACGATTTCTGAGGGGGCGGGGTGGGGTAGGGTTCGCATGTGGCCCCCCACCTGATCCTCGGGTTCTGCCCGAAAAGTTTGGCCGCTCAGACAAAGGGGGAAACCGTGGGGTACACCTCAAGGGGGCTATTCGGACGCACCTCTATCGAGGATGGAGGCCCCCCCATCGTATATCCCAGGGTTGGGCCCCAGATTTCTGGTCCATTCGAAGACCCCCCAAAGCCTGGGATAGGGGTCGACATCTCCCCTGTTGTTGTCGGCTGCCGCGCCGCTGCGGGCTTCTAGAGGCTGCCTGATGCCTGCCGGTCACCGGCTCGGTTTCGGTCTCGCTGCCGGTCTCGTCAGTCCTCGGCTGTGCTGTCGCCGTTAGCGGCCTTCGCTCGGGGGCGGCCAAGAGGGGGGTGATGACTAATTAGGGGTGGGGTGCATACCATGGCGGGGGCCATGATATCTCTGCAGATTTCATGGCGCCTCTTCTTATTTCAACACGCCCCCTGCCCCCCCTGGGCCGCGCACATGCCTCGGGTCATGATTTGCGCACCCCCTTCTTGTGCGCCCTCCTCTTGGGCGCCCCCGATTGGCCCCAGGGCCCCGAGAGCGGCGGACAGCTTCCAGGGCCCCCCTCCTCCGTGCGGGGGGGGTGGAGCGGGCATGCGGCCGCGCAGGGCGGCCGCTTCGCGGCGTGCCAGTGGCAGCGCGGCCAGTGCCACGGGCGGGGTGCCACCAGAGGGGCACGTGCGGCACCTGTCAGGAAGAGGGCCCCATGTCATGATGCGACCCTCCGAGGATGCGTCGGGGTCTCCACGAGCATCTGGCGGCCCTCCTCCTCTGGAGTGCGCGCGGGACAGCAGGATAGTCTGGAAATCTTGGAACGCATCATGCCATCATGGCTTCTTTGCGAGGGTCAGAGGTTGGCGCCAGCAAAAATATCGGCGGTTCAGTCTCGATGATGGTGGTCAGGTTCCGGTCTCCTAGGTGGCCGAAAGGTTACCACCAGCACCAAGATCTAAGGTCATTTTCCCCTGGTGGAGACACAGTTTGGCGCAGGCGGGATGGGCGGAATGGGCGGGATTGCAGCAGCGCTTCCCCACCTCCGCAGCCATTTGTCTCAGAGGCCCCACAGAGGGCCGTGCTAGCACCACGCTGCGCAATGTACACCAGGGTTGGGTCCGGGGAAACAACCATCGATGGTGCCAATCTGCATGCCCCCGAGTCTTGCTCATCCGGATCATGTGTGCGGGCACAGTCGGGGCGCTGACGAAAGAACCCTTTTCGTTCGGGAGGGGCCCAGTGTTCCTTGATTGTTTTGCAGCCTGCCTCAGTTTTTCCTTAGACTTTCGATGGGAAGTCGAAGCTCAACTCAGGAAAAGCTGGGGCCTCGTTCCTCACTTGGGTTGCCCTAGGCCCCCCCCCGACTGTACCAGGCTGCAGCGTGCTGGTGGCAGTTGCCGCGTGGGGCCCTGAGCGCAGACGCCCGTGCCGACAGGGCTCTGGCCTGCGCCGTCGGCCCGTGCTTCGCGTCCTCGGGCACCGTGCAGGGCGTTAGGCGGGCGGGCCCTCCTGCGCCTCTCTCTCTCTCTCTCTCTCTCCGAAGTCCAGTTGCTTCACGCATGTGTCGCCAACAAGAACGCCCCAGCTGTACCACTGGCGGCGTGCTGCACCCCCAGCCGGGTGGCCGCCGCGCCAGGTGCCACGGGCGGCTACCACCTGGCCAAGAGGAGAGGCAAGCAGGAGCTGAAGAAGCACCGGCGCGCCCCTCGCTCGCGCGGCGCCGAGAGGAGGAGAATGAGGAGGAGGATGGGGGGGGATGAGGAGGAGGAGAAGGAGGAGGAGGATGGGGGAGGAGGAGGAGGAGGAGGAGGAGGAGGAGGAGGAGGAGGAGGAGGAGGAGGAGGAGGAGGAGGAGGAGGGAGGAGGAGGAGGAGGAGGAGGAGGAGGAGGAGGGAGGAGGAGGAGGAGGAGGAGGAGGAGGAGGAGGAGGAAGGAGGAGGAGGAGGAGGAGGAGGAGGAGGAGGAGGAGGAGGAGGAGGAGGAGGAGGAGGAGGAGGAGGAGGAGGAGGAGGAGGGAGGAGGAGGGAGGGAGGGAGGGAGGGAGGGAGGGAGGGGGAGGGAGGGAGGGAGGGAGGGAGGGAGGGAGGGAGGGAGGGAGGGATGGGAGGAGGGAGGGAGAGGAGGGAGGGAGGGAGGGAGGAGGGAGGGAGGGAGGGAGGGAGGGAGGGAGGGAGGGAGGGAGGGAGGGAGGAGGGAGGGAGGGAGGGAGGGAGGGAGGGAGGGAGGGAGGGAGGGAGGGAGGGAGGGAGGGAGGGAGGGAGGGAGGGAGGGAGGGAGGGAGGGAGGGAGGGAGGGAGGGAGGGAGGAGGAGGAGGAGGAGGAGGAGGAGGAGAACTGACCATGACATAAGCACAAAAACTCGGAGGTCCGCCTGGATTTCTCGGATCGGCGCTGGACCCCAGTCCCTGTCGCGCGGAACGCGCAGAGGCTGTGCTGGAGGCGCCGCCAGGGGCGCCCAGCGCCGATCCAATAAGTCCGCTCGGAGCTCCAAAAGTTGTTAGCTGCTCCAGCGAGGAGGATGAGGAGGAGGGTGTCTGGAGGGAGAGATTGCCGACGATTTCCCCCCCCCAATCCCCGAGTGCCGCCGGAAAAGTTTGGCCGCTCAGAAGAAGGGGGGAGCCTCAGGATGCATTTTAAAGGGGGCTATTCGGATGCACCCGCATCAGGGGTGGGCGCCCCCCCATCGCATATCCCATGGTTGGGCCCCAGAGTTCTGGTCGGGATAGGGGCCGACATAGCCTCTGTGAAGGTCCTGGGTCCTGTCTGTCCTCTTCGGGCATCCAGAGCTTGGGGCCCTGCCCTTGCCCCTCCAGCCGTCCGAAGACGGCCAGGGATGAAAAACCGGGTCCCTGGGGGAAGCCCCAGGATCCATGGCCCGTCTCTGGGGGGCCCCGTCGACCTGCTTCTCGAAGCTTATCATTCTGAGGAGGAACAAGGTACCCATGCCGCTACCCTTCGCCTGTTTTTTGTTTCCTCCTTTTTCGGCCTCCTGGGAGGCCCTTGTCATTCGTCGCCAACGCTGGATTCGCTTCGAACTTCTGTTCAGAACGTGCCCTGGGAGAGGTCCAGGGAGTGGCGGTGTTTGTACTTTTTGATTCCCCAATCCCGGGTTTAGGTCAAATACCATTCGCACTTTGTAATCACCAGCAGTTCTGGACACACATGATGCCGTTACATCCTTAGACGCATTCGGGGTGACTGCGTTTATAGACGTCGCGGCCGTAGCGTTCGTCGCAGTACAAGGTCGGGGAAAGGGTAGATCCGTATCGCTCCTCTGCTGTCTCTCCTCTCTCGTCCGTCTGCCGCGCTTGATCTACCGTGACCAGAGTCGGTGCTCGGAGACCGAAGTGGGTGTCAAAGATGCCTGTGGCCCGTGCTCCAGCCACCGCTTGCAAGAGAGCGTAGGCGAGCCGCCCACACTCGGCCGAGTGACGAAGGGAGCAGCACTGTGAGGTGGCAGGTGCAGTCGACCGCGGCAGTGAGGGTGCGGCGCCTCATCCAGTCCCGTGTATACCCGCCAGTCCTCAGAGGAGGGAAAGTACGGGTACTGCTACACTCTTTGTTTCTTATTTGTTTTTTGGGCCTCCTGGGAGGCCCTCGGCGCCACGGCTGGATTCGCCGTGAAATTCTGGTCAGCATGCTCCCGGGCAGAGGCCCGAGGGGTGGCGGCATCGGTACCTTTGGGTTCCCCAGGTCCAGCCCTGCTTCTCCCCTGCCAGCCTGGGAGGTCGATGCCCGCCCCTGCGTCCTCACTCGGCGACGCGCAGAGGGGCGTGAGGAGGAGGAGTTGCCTGAAGGATGGCTCGGTAGCAAATCGACGCCCGCGTGTAGCCGATCGTAGCCCCTCATGGCAGGGGGGATCTCAGAATCTCCTCCTCCTCCTCCTCCTCCTCCTCCTCCTCCCTCCCTCCCTCCCTCCCTCCCTCCCTCCCTCCCTCCCTCCTCCGCCTCCTCCTCCCCCGCTCGAGAGGCCGTCCCAGACGCCTCCGAGAGTCCTTCCTTGGAGTCCGAGTTCCCTGCGCTGCGCCCCCCCCCGCTGGAAGGTCGGAGGGCTGGCGGCCCCCGCGCCGCTCCCGCTTCGAGCAGAGGGTCGGCTAAAGAATTTCTATTTGCCCCAGGAGGATCGGCTACATAATCGAGTAGAGGATATTCTACAGAGTCGAGTCGAGGACCGAATACATATATTACTTCTTTTGGTGGTCCGCGGAACTGGGGGAAAATATATTTGGAGTGCCCCGCAGATCCATGGAGCTTTCGACGGGGTACATCAAGTCTGGGGCAAATCAAGTCTGGGGTAGATCGATTCGGGGGTACATTCTAGGGGAAATCAGTTCTGGGGCAAATCAATTCTGGGGCAAATGAATTCTGGGGCAAATTTTGGAGTAAATCAGTTCTGTAGTCGATCCCCTACTCTACCTCTGCGCGCGCCTACGGCGCTCTCGCGGCTTGACAACTTTCCGACAGTCTCGTGTCGTGCCGACCTATGTGCGTTGGTTTCTGGCACAGCGTGCGGTCGCAGTGAAGTATAAGATCGAGGCGGGTTCTTGGAGGATGCCCTGAGGTTCTTCGTGCTTGCTGGATGCTCTTGTGCATCCTGGGGGAGGGCACTCTCGAATGCTCTTCGGTTTGGGTCAGCGGAGGGTCTCATGCTCTTGAATGATGTTCTTCTGTCGTATTTCCGACTGTGCGGTCAAAGTGAAAGAGTGAGGACGAGGTCCAACAGCGGTTGTCGTCCATTTTGAGCAGGGCTCGTTGACGGTGTCGCCGCGGACGTTGTCCATCCGAGGCAAAAAGTCGCCTGCCCAGCAGCGGCCGCTGCCGCTCTTGGACAACACCTGCTCTTGGGCGTCGTGCCTCTCTTCTCCGTGCCCGCTTCTGGTGCGCCGGCTCGAGCGATCGCGGCTTTCCGACAGCGCCGATCATCCGACACCGGCCAGTGCCTTGGTATCGCTCGGACGTGTGCATTTTTTCTCGGCGGGGATAATGAAGGAGCATCCTGGATCATCCTGCGAGAAAGCCACGCACGAAACCGAACAAAACACAGGGAATGGACCTCCGAGCCCATGGTTCCGTGCCTCAGCCGGCGTTCCACCTCGAGCGCCCGGTGCGCTGCCGCGACGCGCCCGTGCCCGCGGCCCTGGAGTGGCGCGACGCGGCGGCAGCCGCGCCGCCGTGGGGCCTCCGCGCTGCCTCCGCGCAGCCCCGGCGGGGCCCCCGCCCTCCGGGGGGTGCCCTGCCCCCTGCCTGCTCCTTCTCTGCGGCACGCCTTCGTGCCCCCTCCCCCTGCTCCGCTCTCCGAGCCCCGCCCTCTGCGCTCTCTCCGGCTCTCGTCCTCTCGCTCCCTGCCCTCCTGCTCCCTGCCCTCGCTGCCCTCTCCGCTCTCCCGTCGCCCCCCGCCTCCTGCATCCTCCGCTCGCCGCTCGCTCCCTGGCATCGCTCGGACGTGTGCGTTTCTTCTCGGCGAGGGCCATCGGGGAGCATCCCGGGTTGTCTTGCGAGAAGTACACGCGCGAGACCGGAACATGCACGGGGAATGGAAGTACGAGCGACGGCAAGTTCTTGCCTTCATTGTTCGCCGCTCTCTCTCAAGGGAGGAAAAACTACCCGGACCCAACAGTTGGCGTTTACTGAACAGTCCTGGGCGTTTACTGAACAGCCCTGCCCTATTCAAACGGCCTCGCGTGTCGGGGTGAACATACGTGGATTTTCTGCCCTCTATTCTCCCCGCCCCTCTCTCATTGCTCTCCCTGCCTCCGAGGGAGGCCATACAGTGATCGGCTTAAATAAGGAACACTTACTTTTCAAAAGGGGCTCGGTCGTTTCTTAGGTTTGCATGCGTTTTTTTTATTGTTCCTTATTCCCCAATCAGAGCTTGCCTCTGTAGGGGTCCTAGCAGATTCATAAGGTTGGGTGAGGTGCGTCGGGAATTTTCCCGGGTGCCCAGGTGCCCAGGTGCCCGGGGTGCGACGGGTATTTTCCCGGGTGCCCAGGTGCCCGGGTGCCCGGATGCTTTATAGCCCTGTAGCCCCATAGCCCTATAGCCCCATAGCCCTGTAGCCATATAGCCCTATAGCCCTATAGCCCAATCGCCCTATAGCCCTATAGCCCTATAACCCTATAATTAGCCTTATAGCCTATAGCCCTATAGCCCTATTGCCTTATAGCCTTACAGCCCGTCGGAGGTTGAGGTGTGAGATCGCAGTGAAACGGAGACCCCCCACCGGGAAATCGGTTTCGGTTTCGTGTTCGTGTCGTGCGTGCTGGCGAGGCGAAGCTTGGCGTGATCCTCCTCTAGCTAGGCCGAAGTATGAGCGAAAATCCGTTCCCGTCCGCCCGTGGCTGGGAGGTGTCCCAGTTGGGCCGGGCGGTGTCCCGGGTGTCCCGGGTGTCAGTAGTTGTGCCGATGGTTGTCCTGTGGTTGTCCTGTGGTTGTCCGATGGTTGTCTTTTGGTTGTCCGACAACAAATCGTTTTTCGGCGCCTGCGGCGGGCTTTCTCATTTTGCTTTGAGGTCGATACTCTGATCGAGAGTGAGATTCACCGATAGGTCGGTCGACGGATAGGTAGATCGTAGGATCTCATCGTCATCGCGATCATCATTGTGGTGGAGGGAGGCTCTGATAAAGAGAGAGAGAGAGAGAGGGCGAGAGAGAGAGAGAGAGGGCGAGAGAGAGAGATAGAGACAGAGAGAAAGAGAGAGATGCGATCAAGGTGACAGGCTGGAGGTCAGTCAGGGTGGGCATTTGATCTCAATCCCCCCCCAAACCTCCTTATCGCCCGCAGGGCGGTCGTATAGGTATAGCCCTATAGCCCTATAGCCCTATAGCCCTATAGCCCTATAGCCCTATAGCCCTATAGCCCTATAACCCTATAGCCCTATAGCTCTGTATGTCTATAGCCCTCTAGCCCTATAGCCCAATAGCCCTAAACATACGAGGAGTGTTTTTTTCTCCAGTATCATGCGTTATTTATTGTTTATCGTTCCTTACGCGTTATCGTTCCTTAGGTCAGGCCGATGACTGTACCGGTGTACCTCCGCCACGCCTTTGCCGGGGCAGTCTCCTTGGCCCCATGAAAGCGGTGCGTGCGCCCTCTCTCGGCCGAGGCCGGGAGGGTCCTCTTCGGGGCCCAGGAGACGGGGGCATTCCTCCTCCTCCTCCTCCTCCTCCTCCTCTTCCTCCTCCCCCTCCTCCTGCTCCATGTCGCACGCCTGCTCCTTCAGTTCATTAGTAGGGCTGAAGGCCAATATGTGCAAGAAGGCAGGTGGGACAATGTTGGAGCCCAGGGGCTCACAGAGATCTCCCTGGAGGGGGGATCCGACTTTGAGGAGGCCCTTGAGGCGGTGAGGAGGCAGGAGGAAGGAG